AAAAAACCGCACACTGCTCAGTGTAGTCATCCCTTGCCATAACTCAAGCATGAATTGAAGAATTCCCCTTCCCAAATACCACAGAATGCATTTTCAAAGGGTAGCTAAATTAAACCATGAAGAGCTGCTGAGCACTGAAAGTAGCCAGCTTCCCTCGCCAAATATTATACATACAAATAGTACTCTACAGCTTTCAAGAGATGATTTTAGAGGCTTACCCTTCATTTAACTTAGGTCTGTGTGCATCTGCAAAGGTTACTTCCCCAGCTTGTCTCATGAAGTCTTTGAGATCCTAACACAAGACCAGTTATGTTATGCAAAGAAGTGAAATTAATACTTATCTATACAAAAATAGTTAAAAACAAAAAGAAACTTATGACTACTGAAAGAGAAGATGTTAGATAAATTACAAACATGGCAACTGCCATACTTGCATTCTACCAAAATTGAATTATCTATATCAGGGCACGAAATAAATGAAAAAAGCATATTGCTTTAAGCAAAATGCTAATAAAGTGTCTTAACATTAAGGAAAATACTAGTCTACAAAGATTATATAGATTAAATTAATATATGAGAGAGAAAGAAAGAGAGAGAGAGAGAAAGAAAGAGAGAGAAATAAAAAAGTACATTTGTATATATACTGGACTGAGTGTGAAACACTACCCATATATTTTTGTACTATTTCAGTCTTCATTTACATTACGAATCTTATATGCATACAGAATTACATTTACATAACACCAATTATTTTGTGCCCCATATGTCATTAAAAATATAGTTTACTTTACCTTTATTAACATTTCCCTAGGCTAGCCAAGCAGCAAACTGCATTAAGCGACCGGAGATACCGTCATGATATATGCCCGACTGGCTCTTCGCCACCCACTTGACGAACACTACCCAGTCGATGGAAGCCATTAATCGCACTGCCCTCCCTATTAGGAGACTATTGATGGATCCAGACATTCTCTATGCTTGATGTTACCAAGGACCACTTTACTGCGATCAGGATTCCAACGACCACCTAATTTCGTATCTTTCAACTCTTTTCGACCAGGACCTCTTTATTCGGAAGCGTTACAGGAAGAACAGCTCTCAACTTAGGAATCAGATCTCGTTAACGCTCTGGGATCGCTGCAATGTGGCACTTTAAGGAGTGCATCGATTACGTCTAGACCGGCAAACACAGATCTAGAGGTGGCCAAGTGACATTGTAGGAGCTGACTGGAAAGTCAACCAGGCCCAACCAAGAGTGACCAAGACAGAACGATTAGGATAACCCACAGGCACTCCTCGTCATAAGGCCAACGACACAGATAGGCTGGCAAATAAAGGGTTTAATATGTGGTTAAAATGGATTTAAAAAACAAGAAAAAAATAAATATATATCCTCAATTATATACATTTTTTATTATTATAAATTAAAATTAACTAGTTTTCATTCAAAATATTTAAATTACATTATTTAAAATTACATTAATTACATAAACATTTCAATAAATTAGATTTAATTTTAATTAATTATTTTACAAAATAATTACATTACATACCCATTAAACGAAGTCAAAATAGTTAATCGTGTTTCAACAAACCTGCCAGCTGACTCGGGAAGACAAATTTTCTACTATGAGGCGATTTTCTGTTCTTACAGGTGGGGCATTTCTGTTTGGAAATAAACAATTGAGACTTTTATTAGTAATTAAAATATAACGGCATGTTAATATTAACAAAGGCTGCACCAATAACTGGTATCAGCATATCACCATTACTACTAAAACTTAACTATGCAATGCCCCAAGTAATCTAGGACAAGCATTAAGTACTTCAGGGAGGGAGCATAAAGACAACAAGCATATCTCAGTAGTTTTGTAATCCTCACTATCCTACTGCCGCATCGAATGATTGTCTAACAAAGCAAATAATACCTTTTTAATATCTCATTCTAGCTCAACTTCTTGGATCAGATGAGCCCGCAGTATTCTTTTTTAAACTATGTCAGTTCAAAGCGATACATACCTCCTGTCACTACGTGGACGGCGGCTACTAAAACGGTCAGAGTACCTCCCTCTGCCTCTACCCCTAGAGCGTGCTCTTGCATGCTCAATTGTAACCCTGGGGAAAAAAAAAGAAATGGAAAACCATACATTTTTACATTTTTCTTCTTACATGTTCCTTCACAGTTATTGGGAAAAAAACCCCACAGAATAGTTTAAACAGTACTGATAACACAATGCAAGTTAAAATTGACTCACTACTTATTTTAGATATTCAAGCTTATATATTCATGAAATAGGGTACCTCACCTCTCACTGCAAAGCTCTTTTCCATCCAGTTCGTAGACAGCATCATCTGCATCCCTTGGATCCTCAAATTCCTGCAAAACCACCACAGCAAAAACATTAAAGTAAAAAAATTACCTCTCCAAGAAATTAACAAATGCTTGCTTGCCACATAACATATTGAGCTGAACATGTTAATGGCATTATCTTTAAAAGTAGTTTCATGCGCGTCAAACGCGCATGAGATCCGAGTGACCACCAACGGACAGGGACCGCAGAGCCCTGCAGAGGAGCGCACTCACCACAAACCCAAACCCCCTCTTCAGATCGATGTCCCGGATGCGGCCGTATCCCTTGAAGAACCTCTCCACATCCTTCTCCCTGGCGGCC